ATATTGTTTTGTAATATGCATTTTTGGCAGGTGTATGTGGTATGTGAGCTTCAGTAATATTTCTTTTTATAGTTTGGTTACACTCTGCCTTTTAATGGTATTCTATTTTTGTGGATCTGATTTGGTTTTGATCAATTTTTTAAGGTTAATCTCTTGGGGAGAGGTAACGGATCAGAGAATAGTAAAGAATTATAAAAGTTTATATATTAAGTTAGGATTTCCAGTGAGGCCGATTTACTATTTGGAGACAACATTTGGAAAACCCTTTGGGTGAAGGACGTTCTCTTTTATTTCAAAGGACTTTGGTTTCTTAGACCATGTAGCATCTGTAAGATTAGGCATTTAAGTTTTGTGCTAGGAAGAGAAATAACAATTTTTGTTGTTAGGAAAATTAGTAGTGAAGGAAGTTAATGAAAATTGGACTCCCCGTCACTCCTGAAATTTTGTTTGGCTGATAAAGTGGGTTAAAAGTAATGAGAACCTAGAGATGTTAAAATGTTTTCTACCTTTGCAAAATGTCTTATGTTGCTACAAGATCTAACTAATAAGAATAGGTGGGGAGAAATTTTCATATTGTCCATATTTGAAGATAATTTGCAGCTATTACGTGACTCATTCAATTATTATTATTTTTTTTTTTACTATCAGTCACAGCCACAAAATGATACTCTTACTGAAGGAGTTTATAGCTGAATGAAAACTTAGTTGCACATTTGAGGACCCTTGTATTTCCCAAAGTGACCTTTTGCCCCTTCATGTTAAGATATATGTACTAGCTGATAACAGTGTGTGTTTTTTGAAAACTTGAGACAGAAGACTTAGTAGGATTATCCAGTGACAGTCAGTAGCAGGGTGCGATTAAGCTCTGTCATTCTGGCTCTTGGCCTAGTGTGTGTTTGTCTCTGGTCATGCAGTTATAGAATAAGGCAGGTGCTACTTTTATATGCCTTTGATTTCTCAGAAGCTGGTGAGCTTTCCTAAGCAGAGAATTTCAGAGCTAGATAAGGATCTTTGAAGGAGAGGGGCAGGGCACGGAGAGTGAATTATTTGCTGTTTGGTGGTGCATACAGTTTACATGGAGCTGTCTATAATTGATTTTTGGGGGATTAAGATGATGTTGAGCTTAGAAAACTGGTTAGGTTTTAGCAGTTCAGGATTGGCGCCTTGCTAAGAGTGAGTGAGCCTGTGTTTGAAAGAAGAATCATTGTATTGTAACTCCTTATTCATTAATTTGGTGAAAGCATGGGAAGGTAAAGTAAGATTAAACGTGGATGACAAATGTTTCCTAAAAGATCCAGGGTTATTAGAAGACTGGGAACAGCCCTATTTTCCTGTGTTCTTGGTGGCACTGTATTTTGTTGGGTTACAAATGGATTATTCTGATATAAAAATATAAGTTAACACAAGTTTATTATTTATTTTAAAAAATATATAAAGCCCAAGAAAATGCTTGAATTATATTGATTTAAATTTTGATTAAATGAGAGCTCTGTAATTCATGCCAATCAGTTGTGACTTTATGTCTCATAAAATCTGACGAGAATGAAATATGTATAATAAAAGATTGTTTAGTAAATTATCAGTTCACTAACTTCTAAATACTTTTTAAAAATATTTCCTAAGTGTAGAAATGTAAGATTTCTAAATTCTAGTGATTACAGTTTTTTGTTTTGTTTTGTTTTTTAAAGTATTCCAGTTTAAGTATTGTTTGGGGTGGAGATGCATTTTAAATTTCTTACACATACAGACAGAATATTCAGTTATTTGGGAATATCAAATTAAAAATTGAATTAATTTACTTTCTTATAGTATTTTGAATGTAACATGTATGATCCAGAGCTGTATACAGCTTTTCCACTTACACTGATGTGCTCTTAACTAGTTTTTAAGCAATCCAACAATAATCCATATAGATACATAAAACAGTCTTTCTGGAACTGCTGCATACTATAGGGTCTGTAGTGAGGTTCCTCCCACATAGAGCCCACATGGTCTCCTGTTCAGAAGGAACAACTTCAGTAGTTTTACAGGACAATCTGGTAGCTAAAATAGAATTCTTCAGAATAGCACTGTTCTTGAAAACTTGTCCTGTTCATTATTAGACTGTTTTTGTTGTTGTTGTTATGTTTAATGCTTTAGGGGTTAATTACATGCTCTTTTAGTAGAATGGGATGTTATTTGTGTCTTGCCAGAAAAAAATTTTTATATATATGCATTTTTATTATATAAAAATGTTAGTAAAACTGTCAGGTTAGCTGACAAAAACAAGGTATATTATATCTTCAGTGTTGTAGATTTGCTCTTCAATGAAAAAATGTAGTCTCTTTACATGGAATGTTATAAGTACTCTTTTTTAATAGTAGGCAGACATCATGCCAAAGGTAAAAATCCTCTCCAGCTTTCAGGTTGAAAAACATTGAACTTCAAAATAGCTAATAGGGAAACTATTATCCGATATGTATTTGATATTAAACTCAAAAATCTCCCTGTGCTGTTGGCCGCCTCTGGTTATCAACCTTTTAAACAAAATTTGGCTGTACATATTGTGGCACTAAGGACAACGTGTTTAGAAAAGCCCACAATCAGGAGAGACTGAATCTAAGATTTTTAAAATGAGGTTTGAGGATTTTGAACCTAGTGTTTAAGTGAACTGTGCAATTAATTTCATTTTATCTCTGGATAAAGCAATCTGTCAAACTCATTTCATTTCCCTTTATAGAAATAATTAATGTTCACATGTATTTATGATATGTATGTTTTTAATAGTGAAAGATAGATTATTACATAAGAACCTTGGTTGATTTTTAGTTTCCTTTTGTAATATGTATTAATCCTTGAAATTACAATCTCCAACTTAATAAAACCCCTGCCATCCTACTTGCTGTGTTATAAGTGGCAGTCTTCATTGGAATGTGCGCCATCTTTATTCACCTGGAATAAGTTTTTCCATATTTCCAAGTTAGCAAAATCCATCCATAGTAGTTCCTTTGCTCTGCTACTCTTTTTTTTTTTTTTTTAGAACAGCAAGTTCTAATGGGGAGTGCAGCTGATGCACTCCCCCAAATTGCATGCGGTAGTTGCACATGAGCTGGAACCTAGCTATGGCTATAGCCCAACCTAGGAACCAGGAACTCAATCTAGAGCTTCCCCATGATTAACAGGAGCCCAATTACTTGATCCATCACTCCCAGTGTCTGTATTAGTACGAAGCTGGAGTCAGGAGCCAGAGCCAGGTATTGAATCTGTACTCTGATAGGGTACCCAGTGTCTTAACTGCTAAGCCAGTTGCCACCCCTGCCACATCCATCTTCCTCTGTGCTGAGTTGTCTGGAGTTCTTGGAGGAATTCTTTTTTTGCAGTGGCAATATATGAAGCATCTGCCATCATACCCCGAGGGAAGATATGTCTGCACATGGCCTGCTTACAGACCAAAAGGTTTAGTATCCTGATGTGAACCTATTTGTCTCATACCATGCCTAATTTAACAATAAAATTGTGTTGACTTCTATTTTATAAGCATATAAAGTACTAATTCTGTTTTCCTGGTGGAAAATTCTTAATAATTAACATACAAACATCTTATTAGGTTTGGATATTCAAAAAATTAAACAATTTAGTTCCATGTTGTCAGATTGCAAAACCTTAAAAAATGTAATTAGGAAATGAGCTCCCTTTTATTGATTACTATTAGTCTTTATGAGCAGATTTTTTTTTCTCTCTTTAAAATCACGACTTTATTTCAAGTTTTGACAATGCCTTTCCTTTTTACTTTGGCTCTTTCCCTGCACTTCCACAAGGGGGCAGATAAAGGAAGAGAGAAGTGAAGTTCAAGTGAATTTGATTTGAATTTCACATATTTTAACTAATGAAGTTTCGGAACTTTTTGTGGGTAACTTTTCAGAAACAAAAAGTGACTTGTCTTCTTGAAACAAATTACAGTTCTTATCCTCACTTCTCAGAAATAAGATTATTTTAAAAGAGGGGAAACAGTAAGCTTCTGGGGGAAAGATAGTTTCCAAAGCATTATCATGGCCTTAGGTTTTCTCTGTGAATAGTAATTTCTCTGAAAAAAACAGTGATTTGGGCTTTAATGAAAACATAGCAATTGTATTTTTATTTAAATTTTTATATACTGTAGTTGTGGATAGCTGTTGTTGAGATAACGATTAATAATTGTGGAGTGACTGTGCTGCCTAGTTAGAGGTATTTTAACTGAGCATGCCATTGTCAGTGGAAGGGGCATAACTTGTTCTGCCTTCATCCCCAGTCTTCTCATTTCTTAAAAATCTCAGTTACTATGGCAGAGTAGAGTGTATTAGTGAGCACCTAAATATATAATGATGACTTAATTTATGGCAAAACTAGTATTCTGTTTGGAATTTGTTCATATTTAGAACACCATAAAAACTACTGTCTAGTCTGTGGGGTTTTTAAAAAATGAGCATCTACAAAGTTTTATGTCAACTGTTTCTTTGTTTGGGTTTGGTGTTTGGATTCTGTGATTTTGAGCTTTTCTTCCAGTATGATGCAATTACTCTACTTTGTTTTCTCAGTGATCTATTTCTTCTGAAAAGATGCTGTTTTACAAGTGGACTGGATGAGTCTCACATTTTTTAAGTGTGATTTTAGCTGTTACATATGGATGGAATAAAGCTGCAGAAATTAATTCTTTTTTTATGTATTTTGGCATCGGTCTTGCAATTAGTGTCTTTCTTTCTGTTGCCACTGTTAAGCTCTCTGATTATCAAAGATTCTATATCCTTACAGCATGACATGTAATTACAATGAAATTGTTATCTTACATTCCTATAGCATTCTTTTTTTTTCAGCACTTAATGCCTTATATTCCTTAGCTTCATGCATGAATTATGTAGCATATGTGAAGAGGCTTAAACTGTTTCCATTACATTCTTTCTGGATGGCTCCTGTTATATTTAGGGTATACTTATACTTTAGACAAAGTAAGAATGCTATTGTTGTTGACCTTGACACCAGATAACTGGGCAGACATTATATAGCTATGTTTGAATCCTCACAAAATGTGCTGTTGAAGCCAACAGAGTCCTGGCGGGAGACTCTTCTGGACAGCAGAGTTATGGAACTTTTCTTCACAGTAAGTCTCACTCTTCGTCTCTGCTACAAGGACCACAGAAAAGAGGAGATGCTTTCGTATTTTTCTTTAGTAAAACAGGACAAACTGCTGTTCTTCCTGAAGGCTTTTCTTCTTATGAATATGTTAGCTTAAACAGAAATTACATTAGAAGGTTCTGGCTAATTTATAAAGATATAATTATGAAGAGTTTAATATCAGAGCAGGAATTCTCAAGCTTTTAATCTCATGACCCCATTACATTCTTAAAAATTATTGAGGATCCCAAGAAGCTTCTGTTTATATTTATAGCCTTTAGTATTTATCCTGCTAAGAATTCAAATTAAGAACTTTAAAGAATTATTTACTAATTTATTAAAGCATCACAGTAAGAAAACATTACATATTAACATAAATGACATTTTAATGACGGAATCATTGTATTTTTGAAAGCAAAATAATTTGGTGTCAAAAGTGACATTGTTTTACATTTTGCAGATCTCTGTATTGTCAGGCTTACTAGATTACAGCCAGGTTCCCCTACCTGCTTCTGCATTTAATTGGTTGCAATATTGCCTATCGCATGGCCTCAGGGAAAGTCCACTGTATACCTATGTACTAGTGAGGTTAGAAGAGGCATACACTATCTCCCAATTATTATGAAAATGGTTTTGCCTTCACAAACAACTGATAGGGTCTTAGGAACCTCTGGGGTCCCTAGACCACTCTTTGAGAACTACTTTAATACTAGAGTACTTTTTTAATACTGGTTGTGCTTATCAAAGCTTTGGGTTAAGCTAGTATTACTGAATAGCAATTTTATTGGCTACATATTAAGTCAGCAGTAAGTTCCCACATTTGCCAGTGAGTTTTCCCAGTAGAACAATCAAAACCCGGAAAAGAATATGTGTGAGTGTGTGTGTGTGTGTGTGTGTGTGTGTGTGAGAGAGAGACACACACACACAGACAGACATTAATTTGCAGTTAGAATGACCATACACATTAGATATAATGACTTGAACAAAAGTCCAAGTAAAACCAATTAAAAAGAAGAAGAAGAAGCTGTTCTGGTTAATCTCAGCTTCTACTATTAGTTTCCTACCTTTTCAGTTATTCTAAAAATATTATGCACGAACCTTACAACTGCTTTTTTATATAACCATTTAAAATAATGTATTTATGTGGTATGTATTTAAAAATATTTAAAAATTAACCATGAGTATACAGAAAATAAGTTTTCTGTAGAAATGTTCAAACTGAGTTTTAATCATCTTGCACTTGCTTTTGTAAATCAGAGAAATGACAAAAACATTGTCAAGATCAAAGACATGATTTTAACTGAATTTCAAAATTCTGTTGCCTGCCTCATCTAATAGGAATTGTTTTGATACGAATCCAAGTTCAATTCTTTGTATAATTCATTTGACTGAAAGTAGATCCTGCTCCTGCAGTTTCTGAAAAGGTGAAAAACTTGCTGGCAGTACTGGAAACAGCTCCACCAGATTTGAACAGCTGTCTAGACAAACCAGACAGCTGCTCCTGTCAGCTGCGAACTACCACATGCAAATAACTTTTGAATTTGAAAGTTAACCCTTTTTCCCTTTGTCATTTTAACAGTTTTATGGTTGTAGCTGGTTATTTTCATTTAAGCAGTTAATAAACAATTTTTATTTTGTTATTTCTCACAAACATGATAGTAGCAAATGTTTTATATTCTGCTTTTATTAAATTTAGTTTCAATTATGTGGGTTTGTTACCTAATTTAAAGTAGTTTTCCTCTGGATATCACTCTTGTGCCAGAGCTGAAGAGATATACCTAAAATATACTGAGGCACAGGATTGAGATTTTTAAATACTGGCTGAATCTGAAATTAGGGAAATTTTTGGTTGCATTCTGTGCCTTAGAAGATCACCAACTTCTCAATTCTTCTCTCCTCAGTAAACTCTCTTAAAAAAAAAAAAAAACACTCTCATCAGGTTTTCCTCCTACCTTTTTGACAAGATTCTTCCTGATCTCGTTTAATGATCTCTTCTTTCTTGGCTCATCACATAAATATTGGCGTTCCTATCGTAGTTAATTTTGTTGACAGTATGCACTTTCCTTGGGCTTTCTCTTCCACACGTAGGACCTCAGGCACCATTTCGCCGATGACTCCTAAAACTATATTCAGCACAGACTGATCCACAGTTCCAGGGCTTTATAATCCAAGTGCTTACTGGATGTTTTAATTTGGATGGGCCCCAGACATCTCAGATTTAACATGTTCCAAGAGAATTCGTCATCTTGCTAACTCGTTTCTCCTTTATTCTTGGTGAATACGAATAGCCTCACCATTGACCTCACCAAGTGTCCTGTTAGACTTTGCATCCTTTTATATTTCTGTCCCATATGCAAATTGAGTTTTGATTCTGTAATACATTTATATTGTAATACATGTTCAGATATGGTGGAATTCTTAAAATACTGACATTGGAAGAAAGGCAAGAATTTTTATTACATAGAATTGAAACATTCAATATGAGTTTTATGTGGCCCATATTTCAGAGAATGTCAGTGAAGCTTGAACAGTACAGGCAGGCTCCAAGACAGTTATTTATTTTATTACATTAACTGTTTCAGTGAGTGTCTTCTTTCTTTGCATTCCTTACTTCTAGACTGGAAATAAGCAGTGATCTTACTGTCTAGATAGAGAAGATTGTGAGATGGGTTTCTGTATTGTATCTGTTAATAGGACATAGCTCTGGGTATCATGCTTAAATGTTGATTAGGTTTTAAGGTGTAAGGGCCAATTTAGTCATGGTTTTCAGATAATCAACTGGTAAGAATGAGTTTGTGTTGAAGTTCACAAATGAGGCAATATGCATATACCAGATTGTATATTCTACTTTGAGTTTACTATATGAAACTCAAAATTCATTGGAATATAGTTTGAAAGACATTTGTTTTCTAGACCAGAGTTTGGCAAGCTTGTCCTATATGTGGACAGATAGTAAATATTATAGGCTTTGTAGGTCATTTGGTCATGTTTAATGTTGCCATTGCGGTATAGAAGCTGCCATGGGTGAGAAATAAATAAGTGTGGCTGGTGTCCCAATGAACCTTTATTGCTGGTGCTTGATAAAAGTGAATTTTGTATAATAGATCACAGAAAATCATCTTGATTTTTCTCAACTGTATTTAAATGAAAAAGTTGTGGGGTGGTTTTTTTTTTTGTTTTGTGTTTTTTTTTTTTTTTTTTTGCTTACATGCCATATAAAAACTGGCATGCAGCAAGATTTGGCCTATGGGCCATGGTTGCTAACCAAAAAAAACAGCATATTGTAAGCATCTTTAGATCCATTAGCTTCGTAATTTTTAGAGATTTTACATTTCTTTACTAGGGTCTGAAGAAGTTTAGAGGTTAAAGACGAATGCGGTCAGTCAGTAAAAGACATATCCAAACCTCAAGTAGTGTTTTTCACTTGCTCTGAATATAACCTGAAACAAATAGAGACTAAACCTTCAAAATGGTGCAGTATTTATAATTGAGAGCTTTATGTAGGAAAGAGCAGGACTGGAATAGTTAATATCTTGTGGAAAATAGAAAATCATCACAGTAAATGTTGGGTGGATTAAGATTAAAAATTACCACTATAATTTTTCCAGTATGTCTTCCTTAGCTGTTTTAAATAGGTCAGATCACAGAAATGGGATTTTTAAATTTGAGAATGTTGATGATACTATAAAATTATGGGCCAATATTTTGGGAGCATGTTCTTTACCCAGAACACTGTGTACCAGGTGTTTCACATTAGTATCACTTCATTGAAATAAAATCAAGATAAGTTTTTAAAAGGATTTAAGTATCACTTAAAAGTTGTTGTTTTAAAGAGGTTAGTATTAATTGCAATAATAAAAGTAGTAAAGGAAAATGAAATTCCAACAAATTGTAGGTAGTCTCAGAATTAGTGCTTGTATATTGACTGTCTTGGGATCGAGCAATATATTGGTTTTGTAAATGAGCGACTGTTTACTTTTTCAAAAGCAGCATCTATAAAACTCTCAATTGAATGTGTCTGCTAACTTTAGCAAGAAGCTGTAGCGAGGCATAGTTAGCATAATACAGATGACTGTCGTTGTTGCTGTTTTTAGAAGAAGCAGTATGTCTGACTGGCTGGCATCTGTTTCTCTCTTTGTCATAACATGCTGGAAACAGTTCAGTTTTCAAAATGTAGGTAGCCCTTGGTGAAAAATCACTTGATATGTTTAAAATCATGGCCTATGATGTAAAGTGGATTAAGGGGCAATTTTCGAATTTAGTCTAATTCAGGAATTAGTTTTCTAGAAATAACCAGCTACACTGAATTTTTCTCTTACCTCATTCGGCATGGTAGACACGTGACCCTTACAAAAGAAGAATTTATTTTTATGGATTAGTAATTCTTTCTAACAGGTACATCGAAAAATCAGAGAAGATTCAGATATGGCACAAGATTCTCTGCAGTGCCTTGCCCAGTTAGCTTCTCTTCATGGACCCATCTTCCCCGATGAAGGATCACAAGTTGATTATCTAGCACACTTCATTGAGGGATTACTGAATACTATCAATGGGTAGGTATACTTGCCCTTTGTTACTGAAAAGAACATCTCCAGTTTTTTCTTTTGTTTGATAGTGGAGGAAAAAGAAACTAGTGACTCTTCCCCCACTGTTTATTAATGTTTTCATATAAAATTGTATGGGTAATTTGAAATTAACACACAGAGACATACTCTTAAAAATGAATAAGCTATAGTTGCATGTTGAAAATGAGTTAATCTAACTTTTCTCCTACTCCCACTTAATACTCATTACTTGACTTGTAGAATTGAAATAGAAGATTCTGAAGCTGTGGGGATCTCCAGCATTATCAGCAACCTGATAACTGTGTTCCCTCGAAATGTCTTAACTGCCATTCCAAATGAACTTTTCTCCTCCTTTGTTAACTGCCTCACACACCTCACTTGTTCTTTTGGGCGAAGTGCTGCATTGGAAGAAGTGGTGAGTAAACATTCTAAAACAAATTGTGTCTGCTTTTCATTGGAGGAAACTTGTTCTACCTTTGAAGCATTTCTCATGACAGCTAATTATATTTAGGCAGTGTTAAAATTATATTTTTGTTTATATGAGTGAAACGTTTGGCAGTTTATGTTTGGAAACAGTACCTTTAAGAATTTGTACATTAAAATCACTTTAGTAGATTAAATGTGTTGGTCGTAAGATTTTAAATAATGAAATAATTTTGTGCCAGAATGAGGAAAGTGGAATGAATGCTTTTATTAAAAATTTTTAAACCACATTTTAGCAGTGGAAGCTTTGATGAAGTTCACAGGGTGCTGCTAACATTGATTTGGCTGTGATTATGTGTATTTATATTTATTTTTGGGGGGATTTTAAATCTCATACTTATTTGGAAATCATTGTATCTATGCATAGTTTAGACTATGCTGTTTAATTTATTTGGTGATGTAATTTTTATTGTATATTTTAGTAAAGTTTAGTTTACATTAAAATTAAGTCTGATAACAATACTCAGGATTTTTTGGTGCAAATTTTCAAATGTGTATTTTCCAAATTTTATATTTAAGTTTAGACTGTGTACTAAAATCCTTTGACAAGACAGCTGCTTTTGTAACAATAGTTACTGTGCATAACTACATTAATTCCAGGAAATAATCGATTTTTTTCTACAAAGTGGTTATTGTTGAAACTGATGTTTCTTTTTATGAATCAAAATGTAGATCCTTTTCAAAGAATATTTGAAGCTGTCTGTTGGAATTTCATGCTGAGTCTTGAATTGTTTTGGTGTGTATCTGGCCATGTGTATGTGAGCGTTTTGTATTCCTTCAGAGATGTTCTGGGAAGAACAGACTTAGGAATGATTATTTATGTAATTGGGCACTACAGTGATCTGATGAGGAAAGAACAGGGTCAGGTGGGGATTTAGGTAATGAACAGAACATAGATAGTAGAAGATAGAAGGTTAAAGACATTATATGTACTATTTATTTTCTCAAGGGAGTTATTAAGTTCTGAACATGAAAAATCCAAGGAAAGTTTTAAGTACTGAAGGTCCACTTAAACTCTTTTCCTGTGGTCATGGATTCTGAACCAGTCAGGATTCGTTGAACCTGACTTTGTTGTACTTCCCCTTTCCTCCCTGGTTTAGTTTCTCTTCTAAGCCAGGTGGATTAAAGAGCATTTGAAACCACATATTTAGAAACACAGCTACTTTTTAGTTTCTACTTGTAGTTAAGTGTTCCTGAATATTTTAAAGAATTGCTAAAAGATACATGACATCCTTGGTTTGCAAGTTCAGAGTTAATTTTGAGCTAGAGATTGCCAACTTGACAAGTTTTCTGTCAAGGTTGGCCATAGCAGTATTGGAATATAGAAAGCCTAGTTACACTTGCAGCGAGGTGGATGTATACTGTGCTTGTTTCACAAGAAGGCATGCTCTTGTTATTATGTACCTAATAGATTTCATTTAAAAAGTGTTTTTTTCTTTTAATTTTTTTAATTTATCTCTTAATAATATTTAACAGGTTTTTTTTTTTTTCTAAGTCACCTATTGAAAGGGGCCGAAGGAAAAAATTTACCTAAGGCTTTGCATTAATTGTGGAATTTACACTGAGTGAAATTGAGAGCAAAAGAGGATGGCCCTTGCACAGTAACTTTCTTGAGGACTAAAGAAATCCTAAATGTCATGTCACCCTCAACTGGTTTTCACTGTATCTTGTGTATCCTGGGGGAGGTCGGCCTGAGGAATGTGCCATTAATACCAGAGATTTGTGAACCAGTCCTGCCAAATAATGAGACCTTTTGGGACAGAAACTGTTTCATCCTCTGTTTCTTTGAATACCTAATGATTATAGAACTCTTCATAATACATAGGTGTCCTCAGATAGAAAGGCATATATAAGGAAATGATCTTTTTAGGAAAATTTAAAAAATCAAGACATAAACAAAACCTCTTTAGAGGTCAGCTTGGTACAGAAAGGTCATGAACTTTGGATGGAGACAGCACAGTCATGGGCTGAACAGTCATGAAGTACAGGAGCTTGGGCAAGTTGTTTCACCATTTTTGAGCACTTGTCCTCGTTGTAAGGAATAATAATTCCTTCTGGTGCTTTATGGCATAGATGCACTTGTGACTGTACCTTGTGCACAATAAAATGTAGAATAATAATTTGAAAAATGAACTTTCATAATGGTATTCACAGTTTGCATTGTATTGACTGTCTTACCATGTAAACTGGTTGTTGAGATTTTGTTTCTTGTCAACTAATAACTTATTTAATTTTTAAAAATAATGTTATAATTTCAATTTTGTGAAATGTTTTGTGTTTTTCTTAATGTTGGAGAAGTTTCTTTTCTCAGTAGGAAAACAGGTTCTGCATATAGACTTTTATTGTGGTAATACTTTTTTCTAGAACTATGTATTTTTGGGAATGCATGTAGATTCTCTTTTTTATAAAGCAATTCATGTATTTGATGGTGATTATGTTGCTGTAGCAAAAAGAAGGAGAGAGAGAGAGAGAAAGAGAGAATCTTCATGGGGAAAAAACTTGTAATACTGGTGTGTAAGGTTTGTCCTTACCGAATGGCTGTAGGTGTTCCGGGACTGTATTGTTCACTGCTGCCTCCCAGCCCTCATCGTGTAGTGGGGGAGAGTCTGTGCTCACAAAGAGCCCTTCCAGTCTTCCTTGAAGTTACTCTGTTACTATCAAGTTTCTTGGTGTTACTTTACCAAGAATTTTTTCATTACAAAACAAAAACCAAATTACTATCAAATGCTAGACTGAAGGGTTGAGAATGATTGTAAAGGTGAAACAGTGTTGCTGTGAATATTCAAATCTTAAGAACAGTTTTTCATATTCATACATCAACTATTTTAGACATTTACAGTAGTAATGCGTGCATTTGAATTTGCTTAGTGAAATCTGAGGAGAATATGACTTGAACTCTGTACCTTAGCTTAGTTCTCAGTTTCTTTTAGGGAGAAGATTTTGAGCTTAGCCCTCAGTAGGATCCTCAGGGAAAGGCCATGTGGTGTGTTGAGTCAAGGCAATCGGGCAGCTGTCATGACAGTGCGGTGTTGTGGGGTGTGCCTGTTTGTAAGGGCATTTGGTAGGAGACACGCTTTATAAAGGAAGAACTTTATGTTTAGTTTCAGTACATTCGAGCCTGATCACAAGCCTAGCAGGAGGAGGGAAGGAGAAAGGCACTTGAAAAAATTGCTTATTACAGAGTGTAATGAGGTGAAATAATTTTGCCATTTGTCAAGTGAGTGAGAGCATTTAAAGATCAGCATTCTTCATTCAAAATCTTGTTTCTCTGGCTGAGGTGATTACCTTGTAGAGAGGAGATTTGGTGTAAAGAAAACACTGACAGCTAACTTACAGATTGAGAAGTGAGGAGCAGAAATTGGGGGTATCTCAGTGACAAGAGGGAAAACAATACTTCCTCCCTGGAATGGTGGCGTCAGCACAGTGTGAACTGTGTGCCTTATCTTGCACCTTTACTCTAGCAGGATGGGTTATCTGAGAATCCCTGACCCTCCCCAGCCTGTGGCTCTGATAGCTGGAGAGAGTCAGTTGATAAGTAGAGACAAAGGCAGAGTAGTCCCTGCTCACCATCATGCACATTAATTTGCTCAGCTTAAAAGATCCAAAAAATAAATAAATAAATAAGTAAATAAATGGGATGGATACATGAATATTGTAAACCCTGCATGTTAATAATATAGTTATTAATATGCTAATAATATTATGATAAATAATGTAGCATTAGGTCTACCAATATTTGGAAGAAAACTAGTTACTGTTTTACCTTAAATACAGATTCTAACTGAAAGAAATGTGTTGAGAATTATTTCAACATTTTATTTAATTTTGGTTGGATCATAATTTTACTAGGCAGTGTTTCATGACTTGTATGTGCATTGACTTGATTGTTTAAATCCTTAAATCTGGTATACCAATCCTAGTGCAGAATCAATGTTTTAAGTTTTATGTAATTCAGTTCCATAAATATCTAGTGAACACCTACATATGTCAAGCATGATGTCTAATGCATATGCATTTCTTTGCATTAAAAATCTGAAAGTTCATATACATTTCCAGAAGGAAGAATGTTAATTTGGGAATGCAGTATTTAAAAACTCTGTAATTTATACCTTGAACTTTTGGTGGTTTTGTTGGGGCAGATTTTTTAAAAAGAGATGATCTATATGAATTTTATAACACCTGGAATACTTGTCTATTAAATCAGGGAATTTCAGAAACCAGGAAATAAATACTTTGAAAATAATTCTTTGCTTTAAGGATTAGGTAGAAAAAAATTAACTAGAAAATGAATTAATTTCTTTTGCAGTTGACAGAGTTCTTTTTTAAATGGAGGAAGTGCAATAAGTTCTTGAAATACAAGTTTTATATGTTGAAAAACGTAAAGAATAATAAAAAGAACAACTGTGTATCATATTCCAAGATTACAAAACAGAATATTGAGAAAGCTTCTCCCCGTACATTTATGAGGTTACTTCAAAAAATTCATGAAAAGGGGCCTGTGGTGTGGCACTGAAAGTTAAGCCTCCATCTGAGGGCTGGCATTCCATAGATGTTCCAGTTTGAGTCCTGGCTGCTCCACTTCTGTTCCAGTTCCCTGCTAATGCTCCTGGGAAAGCAGTGGAAGATGGCCCAAAGACCTGGACTGCTGCATGCACATAGCAGCCCCATAAGAAGCTCCTGGCTCCTGACTTGGGCCTGGCCCAGTCTTGGCCATTGCAGCCATTTAGGGAGTGAACCAGCAGGTGGGAGATATTCTCTCCCCTGCCCCTTCTTCTGTCTCTGTATTTCTGACTTTCAAATAAATACAATCTTTTTAAAAATTTGTGAAAAAAAATGTGTTATGAAAAGACTACGCATGGATTTCAAAAATTTTTGCAACAAAATAAACTTGTCTTTTTAAATTCTATTTTCCATTAACTTTTTGGTGAAGTA